TAACTTCACTTCTTTCTTTCCACCTCGTTTTCGAGGGACCGGATGAAAATTGTGAAGGGAGCTTTCTGTTCGTCGATGACGAATAAAATCTTAACGATCGTGGATGAAGCTTTTTCTCCCTCTCTCTCTCTCCAGTGGATTCGATCGAAGGAAGGAAAATTTATTCGTTGACACGTGGAAACGCGGCGGTAATTTTAACAAAATATTAGTTAATATATCGGAATAATGAGGACAACAGAGAAGACGAGAATTTTTTTAAATGTTATAAATTTTTTTTATTTATATATATAATTTATTTATATAATTTAAATATATAAATTTTAAATATTAGGGTGTCTCATAAGTTTCTTTTGCAAGCTAGGAAATGATTTTAACTGATTTTATTTTTATACGAATATAGACTTATTTTAGTCGTCCAGAGGTTTTTTAACACTATATTCGGATGACGCTTATTTGACTACTTATGAACTTTAGGTATTTGGAAAGATTCTGCACGGTGTAATAAAATTATTAAATTGTTATAAAAATAATAAAGAAATTATTCTGAATGTAAAATTTTAAAACATTTTATTCAAAGCTGAACAAAAAGGATAAAAAGTTGTTGTCTTTTTTAAATTCCTTTGTCCATTTTTCGTCTTTTATCCGAACATAATTTAACATAATTTGCTTTCAGTCTAATATATCAGAATTATTTTTCCAAACGATATTATGTTGACTCCGTTTTGACAAGATTTGTTGTTGTGCTTTCAGATAATCCTAACAATTTTGCAGCTCTCTAATTCTCTAAATTTTTTATCATGAGTATCAAAACTTCTTTCCACATCCTTCAATATGAATATAGCCAAAGGAAGCATTTGTTACTCTTTAAACGAGATTTCTACTGTTCACCATGCTACAACTATTATACGATCCATAACTGGTTTAAGAAATTTAGAGATGGCAATTTTGGACTTTATCAAGGCTCGCTGACATATTGGATGCCAAGATATGTCGATCGATGTGAAGTTTGGGTTCCACAGCTTTACACAGCGATTTCCTTTTCCAGCTACACGAAAACGAACCTTTACTTCAAGATTCCTTTAGAACTTAGAATACAGAGAAACAGAGAAGATTCTTCCTTAATATATATATTATTCACGAGTTAGATCTGTTGCAGGAGAAAATTTGTAACACCCTGCCATTATAGAGGAGATGAGGAGAGGAGTGACCCACACTAGGTGGGAATAAATCTTATAAGTAGGCGGTTCACGATACCTCCGGATCGTTGGCCGCAAATCCGTGGATAAGTCGTGGAGAACAAAAGTGGTGGCGGGGAGGGGGGGGG